GAGTGATTGTGTGTGAGTGTGTATGTGTGTGTGATTGTGTGTGTGTGTGTGGGTGATTGTGTGAGAGTGTGTGTGAGTGTGAGTGTGTGTGTGTGTGATTGTGTGAGTGTGTGAGATTGTGTGAGAGAGTGTGTGTGTGTGATTGTGTGTGTGTGTGTGTGTGTGTGAGTGTGTGTCACCTGTACAGCACAGCCCAGCAGCAGCAGCAGGATCTTCCTCATCTCCTCCAGTCCTTGCTCTGAAAACACACACATCCAGATCACACACTCACAGACGAGCTCTTTAACCCTCAAACACTGATGTATGAACTAACATCACAGCTGATGCAGAGCTCACACTGCTCGATTTTAGCCCTGCGAGTGTGCAAGCTCCTGTCGCGATCCATCGTGCAATGTGAACACAGCAGCGACTGTATGCTGCCCCAGAGAGTCCCGCAGTGTGAGCTCGGCAGGTGGAGCTGAGACGTGCCCCTGAGGTTCACTGTGTGTGTCGTGTGCTCCTGACAGGAAACACAGGCTGACATGGACAATGAGTGCCTGAGCACTTCCTGTGCACAACTTCCTGTGACGGACACATGCAGATCCACACAGTGACATCATCACACGCACTACTGAGCTGTACCATCATTCAGCTCTTTCTGAGTGGAAATACTGTAGTTTTCCAAAAATGTTTGGTAGCACTTTATTTTACAGTCCTGTTCCACATGTACATACTAGATACCTGTTATGGTATAGTTACAACCCTGAACCTGCCTAACCTAAACCTAAACCTAGCCATGTAGTTATCTTATATTACAGTAGTTTCTTAGGTAAGTACACTGAAGGTACAGGTAAGTGCACATACTGTCGCACATACTGTCAAATAAAGTGCAATCATATGTTTTCTACTTTGTTTTAGATTTGATCAATTTATGAACTCTGTCTGCTAATCTTCAAAGTGTTCAGGGTTAAACATTCACTGTGAAGCTATATTTGTGTTTACTAGGGATGCTACAATACAGTTAGTCCACGGTTCAATACGTGCCTCGATTTTTAACCAGGGTTTTCGGTTTGGTTCAGTGGCTTGGCACATCAGAGTGGTTTTTTTTGCAACAAATTAACAACAAAAAACTCCTGTAAACCTCTGCACACTGGAAAAAGCGTGGATTATTATATGTCTGCTTAACATTTCTTTTGAGAGAGGTATTATTTTTCCGATTTTTACCCAAAATAGGATGGACTGGCCATTATTGAGCTCTATAAAGACATGTAATGTGTGTTTCATTCATACTGGACGCCAGAGGGCGCCCTCATGCAGAAACGCAACATATGCATCACAGAAGTAACTGACAACAAAATATGGTTTATCCGTGTTCTTCAAGCCATCTTGGGTATTTTATAATGATTAAGTGTGTTTGTAAGCCATTACTAATCGACATAGCCTTTATTACAGTATATAATATACAGTGCCTTGCAAAAGTATTCCTTTTTTTCACGTTTTATTATGTTGCTGCCTTATGTTAAACTGCTTTAAATTACTTTTTTCCACAACAATCTACACTCCATACAACATACTGGTAAAGAAAAAAACTTTTTTAACATCTGAGCCGGAGCTTGAACCCAATCAAATATTTCTGGAAAAACCTGAAAATGTGCATCTGCCCCCATCCAACCTGACAGAGCTTGAGAGGTGAAGAGATGGCAGATAATTGCCAAATGCTGATGAGCAAAGCTTGTCGCATCAAACAAAAAAGACTTGAGACTGTAAAGGTGCTTCAGCTAAATATTTAGTTAAGGGTATGAATACTTATACAATGTACTTATTTCATTTTCTTATATTAAATACATTTACAAAGTTGTGACAGTTGTGTTTTTGCTTTGCCATTATGGTGTATGGAGTGTAGATAGGGCTGGGCAAAAAAATCGAATGTGATTGTCATGCGCATCTCGTCAGTAAAGCGGTTCTGTGATCAGTAGTAAATCTCCTGCTTTCAGATGGAGCAGCATTTAACATTCGATTTTTTGCACATCCCTAAGTGTAGGCAGTTTATCATAAGGCAACAACATAACAAATTGTGAAAAAAATGAAGGGGTATGAATACTTTCGCAAGGCACACACACTAGGGGTGCAACGGTTCTCGGTAAAAAATCTAACCGTACTGTTCTCCACACATGGTTCGGCATACACTAGGACCGCAGTTCAACTTAAATCTGACAATGCATCTGTAATATGGTTTGTTAGAGTTCGGCTAATGCATGTTTCTGTTGATGAATACAAATTCTGGCTCCCCAATACATTACAACAAGAGCGATGAGAGAAAAAAAAAACAATACTTGGATAAACTCACTCTTTGTTCAATGCGAGTGCTGTATTCTGGAATAACTGTCATTTATGCCGTCATCACGTGTTGATAACGTAGGTGAGACCTGAACAGCACACGTTGGTATCTGTGTTTAAGCTAAACTCGTTTAAGCTTTGCCAGTTTCAACATTTAAGAGCCAGAGGATGTGAGCTCGCGCGCGCAGTGAGAAGATTTGTGCGTGCGCTCATCCGAAGCACGCAAACCCGCGTCTCAGAACGCGCGCAAATATTAAGCTCTCTCTGAAGTATTGTGTTTGAATGGACAAATTCACACAAAAATTGTCAAAATGC